TCAGATTTTACTAACGTAAAAACACCCCAGTTTATCGTAGCAAATAAGAAATCCGTTATCAAATCTATGTACATGCTTAATGTCCGATATGAAATATGGTGGGACAAAAAATGCAAACATGGAAGGCATGTTTCCGCGCAAATTCGTCCACGCGAAAATATGTGACAATTCACTATGACTGTATCTATCTATACTGCATTACACAATTTCAAGTACTTTTGGAAGCAAAAATATTAAGTGATTGTAAAACAAAATATAGATATCCATCACATTATGTGAACTTACTTTTTGTCCACCAATTTACGTTTCCTTCACATTTCGGCGAGAAATGTGCTTTTTACTGCGCATGCGCACCAAAAAAATACACGATGATTACCGGAAAGACGCGAAATTACCGAAATCGGCGAAATTATCTAAGGGAGGCTAATGCTACATACCACACTATGGACTGATATTGGACGTCCATAGCATGGAAATTTACATACCAATTTTTGAGTGGCTAGAAGAATAAAATGTTGATATCAAGCCACTTAAAGTTAGAAAATGATGTCTATAGAAATCTTTTATGGGGTTAGCCACTTAAAAGATTTTAGCCACATTAATGTCATACAAGCTTAATTATAGCCACATAAGTATCAGAGCGTGAAGACGGACGGACAGACAGACAGACAGACAGACGGACAGACAGACGACGGAGAAGTGATCCCTATATGTCGCCACTACTCCGTAGAGGCGACACAATAAAACGATGCTGATCTGTTACTCTGTAAAACTAGTACAAGTATTAGATCTACCTTTTGAAGCTTCATGTATAATTTGGTTGATTCTTTCTTTATCAAGACCTTCCATACCTGCCTTGTTGTCATTCAATAACATTCTTTTCACTAAAGTGCTCCCATCTGTGAAAATATAGAAAATATATTCACTACAGTAGTCCAATCTATGAAAGTATAAAAAATATATTTACTAATGTGCTCCTATCTGTGAAAATATAAATAATATATTCACTACAGTGCTCCCATCTGTGAAAATATAGAGAATATTTCCACTTCTATGCTCCCATCTGTGAAAATATAGAAAATATATTTATTACAGTAGTCCAATCTGTGAAAGTATTGAAAATATATTCACTAAAGTGCTCCCATCTGTGAAAATATAGAAAATATATTTACTACAGTAGTCCAATCTATGAAAGTATAGAAAATATATTCTCTAAGTGCTCCCATCTGTGAAAATATAGAAAATATATTCACTACAGTGCTCCCATCTGTGAAAATATAGAAAATATTTCCACTTCTATGCTCCCATCTGTGAAAATATAGAAAATATATTTATTACAGTAGTCCAATCTGTGAATGTATTGAAAATATATTCACTAAAGTGCTCCCATCTGTGAAAATATAGATATATTTACTACAGTAGTCCAATCTATGAAAGTATAGAAAATATATTCTCTAAAGTGCTCCCATCTGTGAAAATATAGAAAATATATTCACTACAGTGCTCCCATCTGTGAAAATATAGAAAATATTTCCACCACTATGCTCCCATCTGTGTAAATATAAAAAACATATTTATTACAGTAGTCCAATCTGTGAAAGTATTGAAAATATATTCACTAAAGTGCTCCCATCTGAGAAAGTATTGAAAATATATTCACTAAAGTGCTCCCATCTGTGAAAACATTGAAAATATATTCGCTACAATGCTCCCATCTGTGAAAATATAGAAAACATATTCACTACAGTGCCAGTGTATGGGTTTTTTTCACTTTTGGGGGAAGGGGGTTGGTGCCCTTTGTGGAAGGGAAAATGCAATAGTAGGGGGAATTTTATTTGTTAATTCATTTTATTATGTAATCTTTCCGGTAGAAAAAGGGGCAACTCTTGCAACACAAGTTTAAAATACATCATTTTCTCAATATTGATGTGTCGCATGTTAAACTTGTTGGGACGCCTGGAGTAGCTCTCCTCACTTACCTGAGAATGATTTGTAAACAACCTTGTTTAACAGTAAGTCTTACAGGCATAAAATAAAAGTTTTTTCGGCAGTTGGTTGCAAAAAAATGATATTCATTGCAGGAAAATTCTGGCTACTGTATAGAGGGAAATTTCAGCTTTGAGGGGGGGGAAAACATACTATTTTAAGAGGGGAATGGGGCCGAATTTCGCCGAATATTTTGGTGAAAAAAAAACAGAAGCAGAACATGCAGGCAATATGAACAACAAGGGTTAGTACATCTGTGAAGATCCCTAGAATTCCTGCCAGCAGTTTGACTTGTGAAAGGCGCACAAGATTTTTCTATTTTAAGCTCTGGCTACCATTTTGTGCAGCTAAGTAGAATGTGCCAAAGGGTTGGTTATCATCACTCATGTGAAGTTTGTCACCAGCAGTTTGACATCTGAAAGCTGGACAAGGATTATTTACTTTTAGCTCTGGCAGCCAAACTGTACAGCAAAGCAGAACGTGCCAGCAATATGCACAACAAGGGTAGGTACTGATCACTCCTGTAAAACTTTGTCGAATACAATGTCTCCCAAAAATTTTGCAAGACATAATACTGAAGCAGGTACATACATAATTAAAACACTCTTGATATTCACTTAAGTTAATTGAACAATTTTTACTATCATTCAAAACCTACCAGGTGCACTTGCCAAGTTGCTGGCTGATTGTAAAGCTTTCAGTTTCAAGTTTTGGCTTTCGGCACTGCTGTTCTGATGCGACCCTGGATGTAATAACGGAGTTACATTTTTCTTGTCGTTGTTAGGATCTGCCCACTCGGTGCTTGTCCAGTCCTCATTGTCTTCCCAACTATCCATTTCACAATCAGAGAGGCTTACGTCACTTGCCATTTTACTTGTACTTCTGTAAAAATAGAATTCCTTGTTGTATAAAAAAGCTATATTTACACAGGGAAGTCAAAGACCGGCAACGCAATGCCGTCCCGGGCTTTGGTTTGCCCAGCTATAGACTACACATTAAATAAAAAAAAAAAAACGATTGAAAAATATTTGAGTGTCATTTCTAGTTAAGTGTTGTCATTTTCCATCTTACTCAATGATAATACGCGTATTCTGATAATGAAGCAATCGCAATGTTTCAGCTTAATAATAATTAATTGTTGAGGTTTTCTAATTTATTGAAAACGAAAACAGTGCATGAAATACTGAATTACACCTTTAAATCGGAACTAGAACTCCGCGAGTTGGATGTCTCGCCTTGTGAACAGTATAGCTGTCACTTACATGTAGGCATTTTCTTCTTAAATATAGGTTATTTATAACACAGCTCTTACAATGTACATGTACCTTTAACTTTAGTGGCATTTGAACTGATTGTAACAATGTTAAATCAGGATTAATAAAAACTGTTAAATTATCAAAAATAAAAATACCCTGGAAAAGTTTTACACTGACAGATCAAATGGAGGACTCTGTGATGGATTCTTAAGCACTAAACTTCAGGTCAATAAAAAAAGCTAACATACCAAATTTGGAGCCAATCAAACTTATAGCCACCAAGTTATGCTGCGGACAAACCTATTAAGTAAGAAAATTAACAAAGGGCAATACCTGTTCTTGTGCACTGTACTTCTTTTCAATGAGATTTATCATCCTAGGAAGTTTCAAGTCCACAGTTTTTATAGTAGTATAGGTGAAATGGTTGGGATAAAACTAAAGAAAGAAAATTAACAAAGGGCAATAACTCAAAAATCATGGAGTATAGAGTACCAGATTTTGTGCACTGCACTTCGTCTAAATGATATCATCATCCTACATGTATGAAGTTTCATGTCCATAGTTTTTACAGTAGAGCTGTCATTGATTCAGTGCAAAGCAGATCAACGATATATCGATATCAAGTAACTTAAATCAACGATACACCGATATATCGATAATATCCTATACTCACTTGTCTGTCATTCATTTTCATACCTGTTTCAATGATTTCAGTCAAAAACATGTTCTGTACAGTGTCTTGTCCACTGCATGATTTTTTCTAGACAATATTTTTTGTCACCATTGCTATGAAATAATTTCACTATATAACAAAAGCATCACATTTGATATAAATAATTGTTTCTGCATATATTTTGGGTTAATTGTATAATTTCTAGACATTTAATTTTTAAGTCAAAATTATCAATTTTTTAAAATGTGTATCGATTATTGATCGACAAAAAAATATCAATGATACATCGATATTGTCGATATCGATGACAGCTCTATATTACAGTTTAGGAGAAATGGCCCGGAATAAAAATGAAATATGAAAATTAACAAAGGACAATAACTCAAAAAATAAGAAGTGCAGAGTACCAGTTTTTGTGCACTGCACTTCTAATCAATAAGATCTATCATCCTATGAAGTTTCAAGTCCATAGTTTTTATAATTAAAGAGAGATATGGCCCAGACAAAAATAAAGTATGAAAATTAACAAAGGGCAATAACTCAAAATATAAGATGTGCAAAGTACCAATTCTTGTACACTGCACTTCTTCTTAATGAGATCAATCATCCTATGAAGTTTCAAATCCATAGCTTTTATTAATACTAAAGAGACAAAAAAAAAGTATGAAAATTAACAAAGGGCAATAACTCAAAAATTAAGTTGTGCAGAGTATCGATTCTTGTGCACTGCACTTCGACTCATTATAAGAAGCATGCATACCAAGTTTAAAGTAAATCCGACTTGAAGTGACTGACTTATGCACCGGACAAGCTTATGGGGAAGCCGACACCAACGCCAACAAAAGTAACCTCTCTATTTTGCCTTTTTTAGGCGAAACAAAAATAAACAATTTTTTCTAACTAACATCCAATTTCATATAGGCTTTGACTAATTTTATATTATTTTTTTTCTCACTCACATATTTCACATTAGCTAAAGAGTCTTCAGCGAACAAAAGAGTCTTCAGCGAACAGGTTTTATTGTAACAAGAGTTATGCCTAGACCTGTCACACAACATGATGAACATCAAAATAAAAGCGACATATAAAGTTATGGAAGCCAAAACTAATGTCACATGTATATATCACATCTGGAGATATTGAAATACTTCATCACAAAACCACTTTAAATGTAACCGGAAAAATAATTCGTTTCTTCCCACATAATGGCACATTTCAATTTCACTACCTTCAAAAGTTCAATTTTGTCAATTTCGTACAGATAACGCGGTACCGAAATCAAGTTGATTTCGGTAAAGTTACCGAAATCAACTTTTCATTACCGAAATCAACTTATAAAATCACAGTTAAGCGTTTTATTATATTTTTTTCATAATAATATATTACAATAGGTTAAGTTTGACTTTCATGCAAAAAATCAGTTCGAAATAATTATTAAATATGAAATTAGAAACAAATAACTAAATATCATGATTATTCCCTGATTTGTCACGAACCGAAATAAATGTTACAATACCGAAATCGACTTGTAAAATCATAATTAAGCGTTCTATTATATTTTTTTTCCATTATAATCTATTACAATAGGTTTAGTTTGACTTTCATGCAAACAATCAGTTCGAAATAATTATTTATAATGAAATTAGAAACAAATAACTAAATATCAAGATTACTTCCCTGATTTGTCATGAACCAAAATATATGTTACCATACCGAAATCGGCTTGTAAAAGTTAAAATAAACATTTTAATAGATCTTGTTTAATTAATTAATATAAAGTCATTCAAACTGACCATAAACAAAGGAAAATGATATTTAATTATAAAAATGATGATGTTTTAGACGAATATGTATATTATATCATGATTACTTCTCTAATTGTTGCTCACGTTACAGTAGTATTAGATCAAAATATTTGGGCCAGTGTTCATGGCCAACTTTACAAAAGTTCAATGCATTGATGTCAAATAAAAGTAAAAAATATATGTTTAATCTAGCAAAGTATATAAAAGAAGCATTATGTTTACGTCAAAATACCCTTGAAAGTTTACCTGTCTTCTGATCGTATATTGTACTTCATTATTTGTCTATGTTAGTTATGTATATAATAGTCTTTGCCATAAGTTTTTTGTTTGTTTGTAAATGGCTAAAGGCAAATGTATTGCTGATTGCCAATAAATAAATGGAAAAAAAAAATGTTATTAATGTGTTGCATTACTGAAATCAAATCAGATTTCATTTCAAAGATGAGAACAACCCCTAAATAATTTGCATGAATTTCAGAAATAGTTGATTGGAAATTATCACAGTATTTAATTTGAATCCAATGATTATGATTTGATTAAAATAAAAAGACGTAGCTGTAGCCATTCATCATAACACCTTTACTAATAAGGAGCAAGCATGCACGTGCTCGGACAATGGAGGTGTTAGATGACATAACATACTCGTATTCTACTTATTGAAAAAGTGTTAAGTCATGATTTTATGTTGATCGATTTAAAATCATTTTAAATTTCATATATGTAAACAGCATAAATTTATGGAATGACTGGTATATATTTATATGATGGAAAAAATGGAACACTTTATATTGACAAATTTCAATTATGAAATGTTGTAACTTGTACGATTTGACATGTTGTGTATTACTGTATTAAGTAAGGTGTGAACAGGGTCTTTCTATTTGAAAGACCCTGGTGTGAAGTAATTAAGACAGGAGGTACAGCTGGCATACAATGTATGTTAAAGATAAAAGATTATAATGAACCATCTGTTTATGTCGTAATAAACATTTAAATAAATGACTAAAATTTAAAAATATTATATTAAAGAGTCCCCATAACATATGTTAGCGATTTGTTAATATATAGTTTAACTGTTCAATAAAAGAAAGACACAAACTTTCCAATTTCCAATTTTACTGCCTGATACATTATACAATTTTTATGGAACATTTTTAGAGCAGTCGAATTATATATCTGTATTCAAATTTATAATAGAAAATCATAAACTTCCGGTTGAAGTTGGATATTTTTTCTTCATAAAACATAAACATGTACAAAATTTATAAATATCTTTAACTCATATTACAGAGTATTTTATTTTTCCATCATAGTCCGATCATAGCTTTTTAAAAATATGATTTGATTAGAAAATTGTTATGCACGACAATCACGTGCAGATATATAACATGCTAATATGGCGGTATCAGACTTTTTCTTAAATCATTATATACATTGCATTCTAATATGAAATGGTATTCGTCTTCTAAGACATTACATGAAAAACATTTTCTATCATTTAAAGGTGTATTATTTGGTTTAGTTCATTTACCTGATTCTATGTGCAATCTATGAGATGATACTCTTTTTACAAAACCGTTCAACATTGATAATATTTAGATATGGTTGAAACTTAAAAACAGAAATATGTCTATAAAACAGAGCTCTACTAGAGTTATCTAATCTATTATCTACTAATTATATACATAATTTAAACTTCACAGCTGATTTCGGTAATGCTAAACACATAATGGGTTGTTTAGAACAAAGGGAAGTAACTCAATAATTACATTTTTGTTAATAACATCAATAAAATACAATATTTTCAATAGATTTTTTAACTGAAAGTCTATTTCATTATTTTTCATCAAATAATGAAGAAATAATAGCAATATTTTAACTAGTTTGGTTTTTACGAGTTGATTTCGGTAATGAAAAGTTGATTTCGGTAACTTTACCGAAATCAAGTTGATTTCGGTATCGTAACGTACCCCAGATAACGTGCTTTGCCTAACATTTGCAAAGTCAAAAGAAAATACATTTGGATAGTGTGTAAATGTTTCTTCAATACTCGAAGAACTTACTTTCTTAGGTTACTAAAACGAATTTACCGTAAATTATTATAAATTCATTGAAAAACATACAAATTTCATATTTACCAAAACGCCCGCTCTTTCTACCGGTGTATCATAAACCTATGTGCTTTGTGATAACTACTTTTTGCGTAACGGCAAAAATACACTACTCAGTAAATATTTTCTCTCGGTGTAGATTAAATACCACTAATTTTTTTCAAGCATCGTGACTTTTCCATTCAAAACTTAAAAAAGGTAACTTAAAACCTTTTTTTCAATCATTTCAAACGGTTCAAGTCAATCCGGACCCAAGTCAACCCGACTGCAAAATTCGCATTCTTGTTTTTGGCATAGGGAATTGTTAGAATCTCTATTCTTAGATTTCTATAAATATGCACTATAAATATAGCTTATATTTTGATATTTATAGATTCCAGTCACTGTGGACAATGCTCAGGGAAGTGTAAGTTAGAAACGCTGTCTTCTAAATTATATTTTTTAAAGACATGACTGGTGACCTGTTGAAGAAGAAGGATATAGGTGTTAGAATGGACAGAATCTCGGTAAAACGTTGAACCATGCGACGCGAAACAGCATATTGTACATGTAGTTTACAACCGTATTAAATCATCATTTTCTATGGTTATAAAGTTAGGTCATTTATTTTAACATTCACTTTTATTTTCTATCCATTTAAATTTGTCTTAAAATTCAAATAGAATGCATTAGAATTACCAGTTTCAATTACATAAAACCACATTATATTATTTCGCGACTTTATGCTAATTGACAATGAAATAGTCACAGGATATGTATAGATCTCGATTGTTGTTGTTACAGACGACATTATTAAAGTCATAGCTTATATTTAGCGATCCTAATACAATGTCAAATGCATACATAAGGTCTATTAGCTTTATTGGGTAAGTTGGATAACACCAAGTATCCTGTGCTCTCCGTACGTTATTTTAATAGCGTAATTTGTAAAGTTTTCGAAGAGCTTACCTAAATAAAAGTCTCTGCTTGAAGAGATCTTTTCTGGACAATATACCCGGTAAGTTTACTCCATTCTTAAATTTCTTAAACGACTTTTGGGGGGGGGGGGGGGGGGGGGGGGGGGGGTTAAACGTCTTAATATATTTTCTTGCTTCAGCTTGTTAAAAGTATAAATATTATTATTTATTTCGACCTTGCTATTGTTTTATGCACGGCTTTAAATGTAAATAAAGTTGTTTTCAAGCGTTTTAAACTCACTTAATATACATGTTACTTGCATATGTGTGCATGCTGTTTATTTTTTGTTTAGTTTTTTTTGCCGGGTGGGGGGGGGGGGGGGGTGTTGTGTTTTTGTTGTTGTTGTTTGGTGTGTTTGTTTGTTTGTTGTTTTTGTTTATTTTTTGTTTTGTTTGTTGCTATTTTTTTTTTCAATAGAGAAAAATGTTTCATTTTCACCATGATTCGTGATAAATGAACATTTTTTAAAATCTATAATCTAAATAGATCTATTTTCATTCTGAAGAAATAGTGTTATTAGGTTGATCACAGTCAACTGTTTATGAATCAGTTTAAAATAATTATGTAATGAACACTCAAATGAAAATTATCGATTTTTTTGCAATAAACAAATGATTATTATAAAGCAAATAATTGCACTTTTTTTTAATATATAAATAGGCATTTGCTCAGGATTTTGTCTCTTGTGCTAGGGATCTGCGGATGTTTAAAAATTTTACCAGTTCATATTATATGTTCTATTCTGCTTAAGCCGGTGCTAGAGGGCGTGGACGGTAGCTTGCAATTACCACTATCTCCATGAACTTGCTCTAATCAAACTGAGCATGCAATATTTTCATTTTTGCCGTGTTGGGCCTTTCTGGGGATTCTGTTTTTTTTTCTATTTTATTTGAAGAAAACTTACTCTTACGCTGTTACTACAGTATTAAAAGGTCAATTAGCAAGTTATAACGAGGGCATGAACTAAAATATTTGTTTAAAATATTTGCAAATAATATCATCTCTTAAGCAAAGAAAGATTTCTTCAGTTTATGCACGCGGTAAATATGATGTAGAAATTATAATATTGTTGTAAAGTTTGTCCTTATATTTATAAAAATCATATAGGAATAAATATGAAAGCGCGCAGTGTTATAAAGTTAATATTAAAATAAAGGAAACATTAAATTTTTTCAGTGAATAAGCAACAGAATGAGTTTTATGAAGGTTATGATAAACAGTTGAAATAACGATCGAATCAAGGTACGTAACCCTCTTGTTACTAGTTTGACCTTACAATACACTTGCACCGACAAAATAGATTGACAATGACAAGCTTTTTATAAATTTAATATTTTTAGGTTGTCTTCGATTTTAGGCCACACCGGCACTTTAAAGTTGAAGACATTGTCGCTTTATATGTCATTATGTGAATGCTTTATTGTCGCAAGGCGTCTTCCGATGTTCATGTTAAACTTCTTGTTTTTCTGTTAGGCGCATTCCTTTGTACATATCAAACTTGAAAATTTCTGTCATGTCCATTGCTTTGTACATGTTCAACTGGAATAATTCTGTCAGGCGTAATCCTTTGAACCTGTAAAACTGCAAAATTTCTGTCGTGCTCATTCCTTTGTACATGTCACTAGAAGCCAAATTATTTCAGGTGCATTCATTTGTACATTGTCGAACTGGAAAATTTCTGTTAGGTGCATTTCTTTGTACATTTGTAAATGTCAAACTGGAAATTTTATGCCAGGCGCTTTTCTTTGTACATGTTAAACTGGAATTTTAGTCAGGCGTCTTCCTTAGTACATGTTAAACTGGAACTTTTCTGTCAGGCGTCTTCCTTTGTGCATGTTAAACTGAAAGTTCTATGTCAGGCGCTTTTCTTTGTACATGCTAAACTGGAATTTTATTTCAGGCGTCTTCCTTTGTACATGTTAAACTGGCATTTTTCTGTCAGGCGCGTTCCTTTGTAAATGTTAAACTGCAAACTTTCTGTCAAGCGACTTCCTTCGAACACGTAAAACTGGAAAATTTCAATTCTTTGTCTACGTTTGTGTAACACTTTATAATAGATGATATTGTCTTAGATTTTATTTCAGAAAGCATTTTGCGATCATTCATGTTATTTTTTTAATCAAATATTACTATGTTGCACAAGATGGCCTAAAATCAAAACATTATGTCCCGACAAATTATATCATATTTACTTCATAATTTATATATCTGAAAATTGTCATTTTCCTTAGCTTTTCAGTATCCAGAGTACAAAACGTAATTGATGTACATACATATGATCTTTTCTGTTTGTTTTCAGATGGCTGTATTTCGGCGGTACTAGAAAACATATCCCAAAGATGCCAGAATAAATTAGTAATACGTAGCTTATTTTAAGAGTGAACCAGTGTTATTTACGTCAAAATGAATACAACCGATGCAGTGCTATTCAAAAGCTTTACAATGGATAACCTTACACATAAGAACGACATCTCTACATCTTTAACAGACGTTACTACAACTTCTTTTGTCGCATCTACAACTTCCCAGCCTCTCACTACAGTTGTGGAAACATATGTTCCAAAACCGTTGACAATAGATGACATTCTCGGTGTATATTGGGAATACAACACGGCGCGTGAGCTAGGATTACACGGATATCCGGTGATAATTGCCCTTGGAACTATGGGTAACATCCTCACCTTGCTTGTCATGTTAAGACAGAAAATGCGTCACCGTACAACGTGCTTTTATATGGCAATGATTGCCATGTTTGATACATTAGTTCTTTATTTCGCTTGTCTTAGACAATGGTTGGCGCTGCTTCATGGAAATGATGCGTTGTCGCTGAGTTCGTCCGCGTGCAAAGTCTTTAATTTCCTCACGTACACATTCTTTGACATAGCCGTCTGGCTGTTAGTGATAATGACTGTCGAACGATTTCTTGTTGTTCGTTTTCCTCTTCATGCGCCCAAAATATCATCAATTCCACGTGCAAGATTAGCCGTATTAACCCTGGTCATTATAATGGCACTGGTAAATTTACATTTCTTCTGGACGGTTCATCTCGATGAAATGGGACGCTGTATTTACATAGAAGAGTTTGAACATTTTCATGACAACGTCTGGCCCTGGATTGACGCGACCGTCTATTCATTTCTGCCATTTTTATTCCTTCTAATTTTTAACCTTCTTATCATTATTATTCATAGAAGATCTGTAATTCTACGAAGAACAACCTTGAACATTTCCAAATCTAGAACTAGAGACAGAAGGTCAAATCAGGGGACGCAACTCCGACTTAGTGCAATGCTTCTTTTAGTGACCTTCACCTTTTTGTTGTTGTCCGCGCCAAACGTTTTGCTAATTTGCTTGAGGCATAAGTATTTTGATTTCTCTGTCCAAGTTGATGATTTCCGGGATATAGCTATATATAGACTTGTGTCGATGATCACAATGTTTTGTTTATACCTCAATCATGCTGTGAACTTTTTTCTGTACTGTATAACTGGACAAATGTTCAGACGAGAGCTATTGAAAATAGTCACGTGCCAATGCGACGCTGCACGCGCTCGATCATCTATGTTCTCGGATTTTACAACTCGAACTGTGAGATTGAGCGAGTCATCAATGCCAAGCAGCCCTGATCTTGTCAGAAGGCAAACAGATTACATCTAAATATGAAAAAGTGCCGAGTAAAGTTATTTTATGAATATGAAACACTGAAGTGTTTTAACAGTAAAGACTCTCCCCTAAAACATTTATACACATGCCATAAATGAGTTTTTTAATGGCGGCGCGGTAGTTTACAAAATATGAACTCCTCTAAAAATTGATTTACTTACCTGAAAAATGATGTGATGAAACTAGTATTTTGTAACATCTCCTTTCTGAAAAATGACCTGTCGACATCTTCTTGGCAGACTATCATACAGCTTTTGGATAGGGGAGACCGGGGCAAAATGATCCATGGGGCAAAATGATCCATCGCGATTTTTCACGTGATGACGTCATCTGTGACCTAATCAATTTTCTCCGACAAGGTGTCCGTAGTTCGGCCATATTTATCGGGACAAACGATATCGTAAACTTTACTGATAATAAATCGTGAAGAAAAATCGATTTTGGAGCTACGTAAGAAAATTTTGATATTTTTTAACTTTTGTTTAAAACAAAAAAAATAATTACGATATTTTTGTTTGTATGTATTGGTATGATAGTAGATAAATCCTGCTTTTGTAAACTTCAACAAATGTTTCTGAATTTTGATTAATTTTTTTTACATAATGCTCATTGAATGTGAATGGTGCTGTTGGGGCAAGATGATACAGTACGGCCGGGGCAAAATGAAACAGTGTATCATCTTGCCCCATACATTAAAATAAATTTCAGGATTTATGTCATCGTGATTCAACGTACCCGTAACTATAAAAATATATTTATATGCTTGCTTTTGTCTTTAAAATATCATAAAAGTAATGAAATGCCATCATATTGTTTCAGAATGGTTCGTAATTACGTCAGAAAAACCAATCGAGGTTGTACTCCAGGTGATGTGATACTAAAGGCCATCAGGTGTGTGTCGTCAGATGGAATATACGACTGGCCGCTGAGAAATATAGTGTTTTTTAACAATAATTCGTTAACTGTACAGTAATATCGTTAAATACAGTATTTGCTACAAGCGTCTTTTATTAATTAGAATTTGAGACCGCTTGCGGACATATATATGCGCCCGTCGATTTTTGTGCGGACAATAACCTACAGTTATGCATTGTTTTAAAAATGTCATATTTGTTCTCTTCCATGAGAAAAAGTGTACATTCATTTGATACATTTTCCAGATATGCATATAATCAAGAGTATACTTCATTGTCAGATGATAAGTTGGATAATTGACACACACACGCACACCAATCCACGCACACACACACACACACACTCGCATACGCACATAAACACAAACATACACAGTGGAACACTAGTATAATTACTGTTTTAAAATTATATGCTAATTTTCATTTAGTGGTAGTATACCAATTAGGAATTAATATCTTTTAATTAGGACTAAGTAAAGTTAAAAAAAAGTATAGAATGTAGCACCATGAAGCTTCCATAAGAGATTTTTTGTCAATTCATTGTAAAAATAATTAATGTTTAATTTTCAGGCATGAGTCATTCGACATTAGGCCGTCATATCAAGAGAACATCCAATGCTGAGCAGTCCGCTGATGATCTCCCTTCACTTGGTCGTTTTCGCCAGGTATTTACACCTGAGCAAGAGAAGATTATAGAAGAATATCTCATCGACGCAGCTAATATTTACTTTGGACTTTCACCAAAAGATGTCAGAGTATTCGCTTACGAATGCGCTGTAAAATTTAAGATAGAGATGCCAGAGCCATGGCAGTTAAACAAACAAGCCGGTGCCGACTGGTTTTCTAATTTTATGAAACGCCATCCTTCCTTATCCATTAGAACTCCCGAGGCCACGAGTTTGTCATGGGCTACCAGTTTCAACAAGGAAAATGTAGCATCCTTCTTTAAAAAGTTGGCTGAGGTGATTGACAGGGAATCGATACAACCTTGCGACATTTGGAATGTCGATGAGACTGGAATTACTACTGTCCAGAAGCCACGGAATATCGTAGCACCGAAAGGAGTCAAACAAATTGGTACCTTAACTTCAGCCGAGAGAGGGGCACATGTTACTATGTGTGCTTCTGTGAGCGCAACGGGAAACTCAGTTCCGCCTATGTTTATATTTCCAAGTAAGAACTATCACGATCACTTTGTTCGAGACGGGCCGGTCGGATCTATAGGAGCTGCTCATCCTAGCGGATGGATGACGGGGGAGAATTTCACGACCTATATCAAACATTTTGCATCGCACGCAAAACCTTCCCTTGAGAAGAAAGTGTTATTGTTATTAGATAACCACGATTCTCATATCAGCATTGAGACACTAAACTTCGCAAAGTCAAACGGTATTGTAATGTTATCGTTCCCTCCACATTGCAGCCATAAATTGCAACCACTTGACAGATCGGTGTTCGGGCCCTTCAAGAGGTACGTCAATGGAACTCAAGATGCGTGGATGCGCAATCACCCAGGAAGCACTATGACTATTTACGATATTCCTGGACAGGTCAAAACAGCATGGCCTTTAGCTGCAAAGCCAACCAATATCATGAGTGGCTTTCAGGTGTCTGGTGTCTATCCTTTTGATGTCAATGTATTTGGAGAGACCGAATATGCTCCTTGTAGTGTTACAGATAGACCTTTGCTAGACGAAACACTGAATGCGCCTACTGTCTCGCCTACTCATGCCGTGTGCACAGAAGAAACTCTCCATAATACACTTCCGTATTTATATTATACGAATCGGTGGCAATCCTGGGACGAAATAAATCGTTTTATGAATGGAAATGGCAGAGAAGTTTTTCCTGTTGCGGGTGATGGACATTGTCTATTGCACGCCGTTGAAAAGTGCATTGCCTTTGAAGGGGTAGGTCAAGCAACACATGAGGAACTGTGCGAAGGACTTGTCAATGAAGTAAAAAACCACATTGACTATTATGACGACTTCACGACCGACGACCAGGACGCCATTTCAGACATTTTGAGTTATGTATATGACAAAAAATACAACACAAATACTGTTGATATGGTTTTGTCGGCTCTTTGCAACCTGCTTGGTGTGTCGGCCATTGTGTACAGATTCGGGGACGATGGTATGAACATTCATGGAATGGGTCCTGGAAGACCAGATGTCGTGTTTAACGGCGATATCCATTAAGCTTTGAAGGGAGACGGTGTAAATGCGCATTACAATGCCCTCAGACTCATTGACGACGGAACGGCGGAATCTACAGAAACATTTACTGCCGTGCCTTTATTTACACCTGAAACTATTCGCCCACACCCCAAAGCACCACCGCGTAAATCTTCAAAAGGTCGCTCTAAAAAGAAATCGGCTATTCTTACAGACACTCCTGAAAAGAAAAGAATTGAAGAGGAAATACTTGTAAGAAGTCAGAAAAAGAAGAGCCTTCCTAAAAAGAAAAAAAGCCTTCCAAAGAAAAAAGGAATCAAAAGGAAGAGTAAAAATGATACCTCTGAAGAGGAGGAATGGTTATGTTTAGTTTGCTCAGAGCCTTATTCTAATAGTCTGCCACGCGAAAAATGGATCCGATGTTTCGGCTGTAGGGAATGGGCTCATCAGGAATGCACAGGACTGAATAAAACGCAGACATACATTTGTCAGAATTGCGAATCCGATGATGACTTGTATATTTAAACACGTAGCATAGTGTCTAACTGCCATTCTGACGTATTCAAGACAAATTGACAAGCATAAAATGAGCTTGAAACTTTTCATTTTATGAACGGAGATTATTTGATTTGTGTGACTGTTGTTAATGTTTTTAGTTTTGAAAATTCATTTGAGCTATCAAATTGTATAGGAATTGTGCAAAATACTAATAGATATATCTAATATGTAGCAGGCAATATTATTTATATTACTGAAATACTAATTTTGAGAGCTATTAATCTTACTGTATCATTTTGCCCCGTATGCTGTATCATCTTGCCCCGAGCACGGGGCAAGATGATACACTCGACCGGCCTTATTAAATTGATTATTTCTCGTATCTAAATAAGTTATTTCGAAATGTGCTTACTTAAAACAAAAGCCAATATACGGATGTATATTATTATGAAACAAAGAAAAAAAAACTCCCCAATAGATAAAGAGAGAGAAGGCAAAAAGTTAAAAAGTGGATCATCTTGCCCCGGTCTCCCCTATAATATAATGGCACCTCATTTCACACATGTAACAATTGAGCCGTCAAGTCATTGACACAATGTACTAGATATTAAAAGTCGATTTTTCAACGTGTTTTTCATCAGTTGCCAAACTTTTTCAAAAGAACTCAAATCTAGGGACTGTGAGCGCCAACTAAGCTGGGGTATTTGGTTTCTATGTTTCCATTCCTCAAACTGTCGGGAGCGGTGACAGGGTGCGTTGTCATCCTGAAACAGCCAGGTATTAACACCAAATACTTTCGCAATTACTTGCCACAGATTCGAGTCTAAAATCTAAATGTATTGTTCAGAGTTCATGTTACCATTTACGAATGCTAATGTTCCAATTCCATAATAACTTTATAAGTAATGCAACCCCAGACTGTAATTTTAATGGTTGACTGAGGCCCCTCAGCAACATATCCTAAGCATTCATGTCGTCACTTTTCTGAGCTCTTGCTCCAAACTTTTGTTTTCCCGTCAGGTTTGATAACAACCATCATTTCATCACTAAATATAACGTTCTTCCATTGAATGTCAGTTGTCCAATGTACTTTACCCCTACACCATGCTAAACTCTTTCTTATAAACAGTCCTTATTCCTACGGTTTTCCTGACGGATCGTCGTTTATATCCAAAGAAATAAAGTCTCCTCTGTACAGAACGAGTAGAAAGTTTCACAGTTGCTATTTCATTAAACACTCCAAACTAGATCGCCGATTTGTTTTTTTATAATCCTTTACAAAAAGTGCGGTCGGCGCGACCCGCTGTTGCATTTGGTCTGCCAGGTCGATGGGCATTTTCAATGTCTCCCTTTTGTTTCCATCGCTTTAAAATCCTGGAAATAGTGCTCTTACTAATACATGTAGTTAACCTTTTTGCAACATCCCTAGCACGTAATCCGCTTTCAATCAGCTCAAAAATATTCCTTTTCGTTTCACTGGAAATTTCACGACCGTGCTTAGCCTTTATTAACAGTGATTTAAATAACCGCGCTTTACAAACTTCTGCAAATAAAAGTCACGCCACACCATAGACTTGACAGGTCTAAAAATAGATAATATGTATATTTCTTTTATACATTTGCCATATCACGGCCGCTTACCGCAAAAATCAATAAAAATATTCAC